GTTTCTCCCCAAAACAGCACTTCTGGGCGGTGAGTCCCGTCAGAGCCAGGGCACCGGCAAACCTTGTGCCGTTCCTGCCGTGTCCGCTTCATCTCTGGTGCCCTCCGGTTTGTACACTCCTCCTGTTGCTGTAATTTAATACTAATAGTGCTGTGGTGCAGGTTGTTATTTTTCCGGCAGGTAGGGCTTTTGGCTGGCTTTGTTTTTTTCGAGTGCGGTGTGTACCAATAGCGGCGGCACGCTGGTGTTAATTGCCGGCTCTGGAGCTTGTTTTGAAGCCCCACGGCGCGTAACCTCAAAAAGCAACCAGCCAGGCCAGTTATAGCAACAAAACCATGCGCGCACCCCCAAAACTTAACAAATTTGTTGCACAGAGTGTGGTTCCCGAAGGCTTTTGTGGGCTGCCAGTCAGCCACAGGCCTCTCTAAACTTGTACGGGATCAGCTCTCTGCTGTTGATACAAAGCTCTCCTCTCAAAGGCGGAATAAAATTGCTGTGGAAATCATTAGGATATGAGGTGGTAACGTAGAGAGGTGGTTTGGTAATTAGTTTGGTGGTTATGGCAGGTTCTGCAAGTCTTCCTTTTGGTGAAGCAGAAAAACCCCTGAAAATCATGCCCTGTCCTGCCCTGGATTTTATTATTGTAATGTGGGTTATTATCTTGGTTTTTTGTTTCTCCAACAGAAAAGTGTGCCCTGCAGCTTTAGGTGGGGTTAGCAGATGAGGACACCGCTTGCTCAGGTAGCAAAATTAGCAGCATGATACAAGCGACTTGGCTTTGTCAAAGTACGCTCGTCCTGGGCCTCGCACCCTCGGTTCCTGTGCTGCTGCCTGGGCCTGGGCCTTTTCGCAGGGCTAAACCAGTGTTTAATCACACACACACATATGCTTTTTCTTGAGAAAGTTGAGCAAAAGCAGTGTTTTAGCTGGGAACATCACCAGTAACTCGCTGGGGCAATTCCCATCAAAAATTAGGGGGTTTTTGTGTTAAGCACCAATGCAATGTGGGCTGTCTTTATGGTGTCTGTGTGTGCAGTGTGGTCCATCAGTGGTGTGGATGGATGGCTCCAAAACGTAGCTGACTTTGTGCTCGCTGGGTGGATCTTGTGCTACGATGGCATCTTAGAGTTTTTCCAGTGATGATTAAGGTGAATTCAAGGGTTCCTCGGGCTGTGTGGCAGCAGGTCCTGGATGGCCGCTGTAGCCCAGGCCTGCACGGTGCGGTCTCGGCAGTTTTCCCTGTCGTTTTGTCCTTCCCACACGACGAGCATCAGATTTCACCAGGACTGAGCCACTGGCGACAGCAGCTGAAGGCGGCCACAAAAGGGGGTGCTGGGACCCCCGCGTTGGGGCTGGCTGCTGGAAGGCGCTCCCTGTAGGGAGCTGTGGCTCCCCACAGCCGGTGGCAGGTATTCGTGGAGTGGTGAGCACAGTGACTTACCTAGGGCGAGGGTCTCGAGTTGCTGGCGCAGTGGGGGAAGGAAAGGCGGCTGCCGCCCCTCGGGCCCTTATCCTGACACCTCATTGTCAGGGAGAAGTGACGGGCACAAATGGCATGTGCAGACCGACTTAAAATAGCCCCTGGCCGGTGCCCCGGAGCACGCGGCCTCCTTATATGTCCCTCCACGCATGCCACTGCTGCTGGGGTGCCCCTGCCCACCGCAGGTGCGGTGCATCCCACAGCAGGGACGGCGCTTCCTCTCGGGCCGGCCGACGTCCTCGTGAGGACGTTAGCCTCTAAATTTAGGGGGCAGAAGCTGAGTGCGATGTTGGTTTTGCCATCAAGCAGGCGTGATGGGGGGGTTGGTATCAATTTGTCAGTAAAGAGCCCTCGGCACGGCTTGCGGAAACAGCTCCGTGTCTGTCCTGGTCACCTTCTCACTGGTCACCTTTCTTTATTTCTTCCTTGCAGGATTGCCAGATGCTTTTAGAGAAGATGAAAGAGATCACCGGAATTCAAGACTTGGCTTTCCTTCACACGGCTCTAAAGGTTTGTGCCCGTTGTCGTTGTTCTGTGGAAAGGAGACCTCTGAGTTTGTACCAAGATCAGGCAAGTTCAGGCTCTCTTGAAATGTAATGCAGGGGTTGGATGTGGGCTGGTAACGAGCCCGTCCTCACTAAAACAGTGGGACCATGGCCTGTGAAAGTGATACAGCATGTGTGTGTGTGCGTGTGTGCAGAATCATTGGGTTCACATAGCAGATGAAGGATAAAGCCTCTGCACCTCTTCTGCTTGTGTTTCAGTCAGGTGTGCCTGTGTCAGCAGGGATCGTGCAGTTTCGGGGTTCGCATGTGCTCATCCCCATCTCAAACAAAAACCCCACGCTACGTTGAGAGCAGTTTGTTTACCCGGAAGGATTCCTCCCCACAGTGCACGTTTCGGTATTTAGAAACCAGAGTCTTCAACGGGCTGCAGCCACATCAGTCTGGGGTCACCAGACACCGTCCATCCTCTTGAGACGGAGCAGCAGGGTGTGGGTAGTGCTGAAAATACACCAAGAGGGTTGTTTAAGGAAATCCTTAAAGGTTTCCTTGAGAAGTAATGTCCAGAAAATGTCAGACTAAATTTAAAGGAGCTGAGCCTGTACGGTGATCTGAAGACAGCCCTGGCCGGGTGACAGACAGGCGTCTTGAGGTCCCCAGAGACTTTGACTTGTGAATCAAAGTACCTTGTCGCTCTCCAGACCTGCTGCGGCTGCTCCGGTCTCTTGTGAGGGAAATGAAATTAGTTAATGGAGTCTGTCTTGTCCCAGTAATAACGCCAAAGTGCTTTCCGACAGGGAAATTCAAGCCTTCATTATTTCCATCTTTTACTCCTGCCTGTCACCAACCGATAGCTCTCTCCCGTGGCCAGAGAAAGCGAAGTTGGTGGCACTGTGCCTGTCTGCACCCCGGCTGCATTACGTGTCCTGCAGATGCAGATGAAGCAGCCCTGGTTCTTCCCTGTCGTTCTGCCAGGCTGCCAAAGGGGACCTGATGGAAGCTGTCATCTTCCTGACGGAGGAGCACACTGAGGAGCCGGCTCAGGACGCGGCTGCTGCGGAGCCATGCCCCTGGGAAGGGAGCGCCATGGGCGGTCAGCCCGCACACAGTAAGTGCGTTGTCCAACCTTCCATGGGTTTCCTGTGGTTTGGGCTGAGCGGAGGTGCTGGTTCTCCCCGCTTCTGGCGGTGAATCCCCCTGGTGCTGGGCTGGTTCTGCCAGCGCTCGCCACTTGCCACAGGAGAGCTCAGAGAATTAAATTGAGATTTAAACTAAATCAAGAATAGTATCTTTAAACCTCTTTGCTAGTGCCACATCTGTTAACTGGAGCTTTCCCAAGCAATGTTATCACTGGACAGGTTCGCAGTGCCAAAAATGTGTGCTGGGAGCTGTGAGCAGCACGGCTGCCATTGCTCCGCCGTGTAAGGCTTCCACCTCTCCCAGAACCTCTCCTTTTCTTTTCTCCTCCTTTCCTGCGTGGCTGGTACATGAAACGACTCTGACGTGCAATGATACGATGCTGCGATGGTGCCGATGTTATTGAAATCCTTGGTTTCTCGAAGCAGTGTCAGCTGTCAACGCTGCTGTCAAGGCACAGCAAATACAGCAGCAGCTGATCCTCATTATTTCGGGAGGTCTGAGACGTTCCCTCCAGCTCCGAGGTGGCTGTAGGGA